TCCTATAATCTTCCCATGCATCACCATGTGATCACTATAGTCACCCGTTGATCTTGGATGCGTATGTGTTGCACAAATTGTAATATATACTTCGAAATGGTATAAAGTTTTCTCAATTGCGACCACATCATGGCCCCCAAAACTCGATCAGGAGGTGAGACCATAAAACATAAGGTGTAATCAGGACATAAGGGACTGTTTGGTGTGAATTATGGACTCCAATAACTTATGTCTACAAATTAGCTTATTTCACAGCTAAATAAGTTAAGCTAGTACATTATTTTTAATCTCCAATTCTATTAATTAATATTTTGAGTAAAGGGCGGCCATCATTAAGTGAGCGTTGAGACAAAAAATTAAGATGAAGATTTGGACAAAAATTTAGACTTGTGCTAGGTAGCATTCTTGCTTCTATCCTCTAATGTTTAAAGCTTAACTATGGAGGCCTTTAATCCATAATGAAACATCCATAGCCAAGCTTGGAGATGGTCCATAGAGTTGAGACCTGTAGGGAAGAAGACCTGCAGGCCTTTAATCCCTAATATGCTTGAGGATCGATTTTATCTAGTTTTAATATAAGATTATTTTAATTTCAGGTATAGTACGCCCAAAAGTTGTGATTAATTTATGATTTCTTGCCTATACGTGCTTATTATGATGTATTGTTTAATTGTACATGAACTCTTATGCTCTATTAGGGGCTTATTCAAGTTTTAGATAAGATTACTTTGATGCTAAGCTTTAAATTATAATTTTATAGGAAAGATTGCTGACTTTTCATTGTACTTAAACTTCCCGCTTACAACTTCAACACTACTTATTAAGAGTGTGTTTGATAGATATTATTGAAAAAATAATGTATTTTAAATAGTGATATGATAGGAAATATGTGATTAAAAAGTGATGAAAAATTATTGATATGATGTAAAATATCATTTTATTGAAAAATGTGTAGATGAAAATGAGTTTTGAAAGAATGTTTTTTGAAAGAATGTGTATTAAACATGGGCTAAATATAAAATTACCATTAAGGTGACTTGAATTCGGAAATCCAGAATTTGCAGCTTATTCAATGGCAGCAATCCTCAAAGTTTTGAACAATTTCACTTCCCTAATTAGTTATTAATCAACACATGGTCAAGAATAAAAAATGATTAGGAAAACACTATTACCTTCTATTGATGTATTACTTTATAAATCTTCTCTACAATTAGATACCTAACTTGACGTCGCAATACTGTTTGTTAGGACTTATATTATATTTACAATTTTTCAGACAAAAAGATTATTATAAAAAGAAATGATTGTTATAAAATAACTGTAAAAGTTAAGAAGTCTTTTGAAATGTTGTATAGAAGAACTAAGAGTATTGGGATTAAATTATCAAACATGAAGAAAGGAGTTCCCGGATTTACGCTAGCATATTGCCTAACCAATTCTCAAGCTGAAAAAACACAATCATTGTCGCCTGCCTACTCGAGCGACATGCCTGTCGCTAGCCAGGGCGCTCGGGCGATGATGTTTTTCGAGAAACCCTAGTCCGTGATTTTCAAAAGTTCTATGTATCCTATACTACCCAAATACCTCCTATAATAAATACCCAATGCCTATTACATTTTTGTGTATGGTTAATCATTATAATATATCCTCATAATGTCATTCCAAGATTCAAGAACATATCCAAATATTGAGATTAAACATTTGATTCTTGAGATCATTTGGTTGAGAAAACATCAAATAATTCAAAACATTTGCTTTCTAAATATAATCAAGAAGATGTTTTCTAAATAACTTTCAGAGATTGTTGAAAATTGAGGGAGGTTGAACCAAAAGCACAAAAAAAGTACAAGAACAAGGTGTTCTCGATGATTCACAGAAGATAAACAATTCCAAAATATTGGAAGCACGTGTGAATGAAGTATGTCTTAGCGGGCTTTGGAGATTGTAGGAATTAGATCCGTGAGTCTAGTGGATTTGCTAGGTTGCATCATACTGTAAGTTCTCATTGTCTATAGTAATAGTTATTGGCTTGGTCCCGGAGTTTTTAAACCTGTAAAGAATTTTCTTCGTTAACAAATCTTGTATTATTTGTTGCTTTATTTACTACTGTGATTATTCAATATATGATAAAATTGACTTGATTGGCGACTAAACATCTAGAACATTTAAAAAGTGACTTGTTACGTTTAATTGATAATTTGAATTTAGCGTCATTCACCTATTCATTCCCCTCTAGGTGATTTTAGGGTCGAACTCGTAACTTTTAATGTTATGCCGTTGGCGAATATTAATAGGCGCATATACATGAAAAGAGCAAAAATAGACATCGCTCGAGTGAACAATTTTGCTATATTACAAATTCCAGTGTCAATGTTTCTTTTGAACGTTATACCATCTTATTGATTTTTATTTTTTATTTTTTTGAACTTTATTTGTAAAATAGATTCAAGCTTTGCCAAATATGTTAGATGCAGTTAATTATATTATTCTTACATGAACATCTTTATCCTCTCCCTAGAATACAATAGATCTACCAAAAAGATATGAAAAATGTTATTCATCCCCAGTGGTGATGCATCCTCAATCTATGTGGATGTAAATGATTGATTAAATGATAGGTGAAATTAAATGACTTATTTAATTTCACCTATCATTTAATGCCACATAAACGTCACATAGACTGGGGATGCATCCCCAGTGGGAATGAATAGCATTTCTCAAAAAATATAATAGTCATTCAAACCTTTATCCCTTGTTTGTGAAAGTTAATGCACCAGCTGGGAACTACACAAATGTCATAATTCCCCGTTGCTGTCAAGTGCTGCTCAGAAGCATAATAATATCAGAGTGCTAAACATCCACTAGATTTCACCTTCTTATGGGAAAAAGGAACACCACTGGAACGTCAAGCTTTTCCGCTCATTGTTTAAGCACTCTAGATATAGTAACACGCAATTTGAAGGTGAGCTGTAAAATTAAATACTTTGCAATCTCATTAGCTCGTAGAAACTTGACTATATTAAGCTAACAGCAGCTTTTTTTTTTTTTCTCTCCTCTCTGAAAAAGGAAGTGCTTTTTTTTTTCTTTTGAACTGGGCTTTTCTCTTTTCTTGTTACCGTGATCTTTTGAATAGAGTTGTAT